TCAAGTTTGGACCACCAAACCACCCCAAAAGATGCTCGAAACTTTTCATGTCTGGGGTTCTCATATCTAGTATCATATCTTTGTTCTCCCTTGATTGACTTAACTTGAGCGCAGGCCTTGTCCTTTGGAATGCCCAAAGCACTGGGCTGTGCCAGCTGCCCCCCGGTGGCGCTCGGGAAACGGTTGGGACCGTGTGTTTCTTTTTTTTTGGCGGTTTGGACCTATGCGGTTGGGGAGAAAACCGGGTAAAATTGAATTGGAAAACACATTTTCTTTTTTGATCGTGCTCGTCTTCTTGAATTGGTCGGAAGAATCTCCAATATTCTTCCTTAACGACCAAGTGACATAGATTTTTTTAGTACGATAACACAAGTAATACGATTCACATGAATCTACTACGATTCCTCAAAAAACATACGATCTCCAAAAAAGTGGTCGAATTGGTGGGGTGTCTTGGGGCCCGGACGACACCCTCAGCCCACAGCTGATGCACATCGACTTCAACATCGTTTTCTCCATCACGCCAGGCTCTCAGGGGCTCCGCACTGCAAGTAGGCTTTGGAGAATTCTTTGCTCCACTGACGCCGATATAGCCCTAGAGCTCGGCATATTGTATTCTTAGCTGCGCTAAGCGGGTGTGTTCGTCTACTTACACGGGATATTCGTCCGATGAAATCTTCATCAGACCAAGTGCAATGCACTGCCGGACTCTCAATGAACTCACACGACAGGTCCAACATCCACTGCACATCAAGCCTTGGGTGAAGGATGGGTAAAAAAGTGCAAAGCTACAACATGCTAGAACCTTCAGCGCGGGTGATCGACTATTTATTTTGCAAAAACACCAAATTTACAAAAAGCTTGCCTGAACCGGCAACCAGCTACAGAAGGTGGCAGAACATGTGCAACTTTGGCCTCACATGGAAGCCAGCAACCCCAAGCCTGCAACCGATCTTTGCTAAAGTTGCGTATCCGTCCTTGCCCGGGAGTGAGGGTGGAGTGACAAGACCAAGTCCCCTGAAAACAAGAGCGCGTGGCGACCTAAGCCAGCTAGCAGGGATCCCCCCAAAAAATGAACTGAGAGGGCAAAGCCCAGCCACAATGAATGCCCAGCCATCGCGAACAAGGGTTTGCGCCTGCTCGCGGTCCAACCAGACACCATTGCCATACAGAGACCGCCAAAAGCGATCTATTGCATGGCAGCTCCACCGCAATACTTCCACCACTTCTTGAACACCACCTTCCTCAAGATGATTCAGCTCCTTTGTCGTTGGAACCAGCAAAACACCCAGGCCCACACAGTTACATAAAACCGCTGCGCAAAACATAACCATGCGTCTAGTCTGTCCAAGTCGACGCGCTGCAACTCTTCGTCCAGCCAAGATCCGATTGGGGCAGCGTCATGGCCTTTGCCAAGGCCGCGCGGTTTGCCGCGTAACCTTGGGCATTGGATGGCTGCCGTGCGAATTGTGAGATGGACCCAGGTGACCCAAATCCAAAAGGGTGCTCTTAGAGCAAACAAGGAGCGAACCAACTGGAAGCTTGAAGCTTTTGTAGGAAAATTCATATATGCTTGTCTGTTTGCGATGAGCATTGCACCAGGTGATGAAGCTAGAGTAAGCGTTCTGGAACCTTTGGTCTGTGGAAGTTCCCCCGAAGTGCTGAATCTGCATCAAAGCAAGGATTCCGCTGGCATAGAAATTTTTCCCAATCCCATCGATGGCAAAAGTGTGTGCTGGATCTATCCTGGCAAACTTGGCATTCTCGCCTATGATCAACAGATCCCTCAAAGGTGAGCGTAGGCTTTTGAACGGTGCCGGGTTGATGTCACCAGGCTGGAGGTTCTTGACAGCATACTTCACGTTCCACCAGTCCTGGGCTTGTACTAAAGGTTCCTTTCAAAGCCATCATTGCGGCCACCCCCGGAAGCACTTTCTTAAGGGACTTCGAGGGCCCACATACAAAGTGCACAGTTTGTTGAACAAAGTAGGGCATCCTTGAGGATGCAGCGATGACATTTGTCCTTGCAGTTGTACCCATTATTGAGCCCCAAACTAGACCTCAAGAACGGCCAGTCGCCTTTGACGCTCACCACAACGAACTTCCACTTCAGAAGCTTTCCTCCTGAAAGAACCTCAGTCCAAGAAGTGGTTGCCCTGTTTGCCCTCAAGTGGTGTATGCTTTATGAAGATTCAGTGGAGAAACTGTGATTCCATCCCGATGCATGCTGTTCAGGTCTTCAGTCCACGCCCGAAGCAAATCGTACAGCGAGGTCTGGCTGTATGGGGCTGGGAGGATGCTGTACAGCAATCTGGTGCACAAAGTAGGCCTTAGATAGCGAGTTAACGAATAAGTGGCGCTGCATGAAGTGTGTTTGGGGTTATCTTGAATACCGCGCCATTTTAAGGGAAAAAAAAGAATGCGCGAATTCAATCTGAATGGCCCAGCCATGTTTGTTTTTCCTGGGCGAAGTGGTAATATGGGTTGAACACTCATCACCATCACAGGTTGCTTCAGCCGACCGCGGCCTTCGTCCCCATGGAGAGCCACAGGGATCGACTGACCCCACACAGACTCTGGCACTGGAGTGCAGCTAGTGAATCGCTCCCAATACTGCTTCAACACAATCGAAAACTCTGCTGCGTGGCTTAAATCACATCCCTGCATGAAGAAGTGGCCCCCCATTGTCAAATATAGTTTCAGCCCAACTGGACAGGTGTAGGACGGGGTGCACAGCTGGAACCTGTGGCCTTCTCCGTGAGAGGCGCAAATGAGTAGGGACCCCTGAAATCTCAACCGGCAGAGCCCTTCCAAAAGCCTTGATGGTCTTGTGGAGATTCCTGCAAATATGTGAATCGGTTTTGTTCTTGCCGCACTTCGCGAGCTTGGACAGCAAAGGGTCTGCCAGTCCTGCAAGCATGCGTGATCCAATTTCCAGGTAGTAAACATTGCACGCGTGAAATTGCTAAAAGGCTAAAAGACAATAGTTCAGGCGAGGCTCCATGTCTTTTGAGACGATTGTTCGCCACAGTTGCCAGACGGACAACCCTGGCAGCTGATTCTGCCTTAGCGTAGCTGTAGATCAGAATTTGGGACCTGCATGCCGGTTGCCTGGCTAGCACACGCAACCAAAACTATAGTTTAAGCCACAGTGCTCCATCCTCAAACCCGGTCAAAAGCTCATCGGCCAGGTCCGCATCATCCAACTCAGCGAAGCCTGGAGAGCTGGGCGCCAAAGACCGCGCGACGGGGGGATGAAACACATGGACGCAGGCCTGCATCATCTAGGCGTGAAGCGCAAACACCGTCTCGGGTTTGACCTGCGAGGGTCAAAAAAATACTATGGCCCCTCAGCTTGTATCGTGTGACCTCCGTGCGTATATCTCACCTTTTTACACATTTTTTGTCGCACTCAAGGATAGCTGTATGCATGTAGATCCACATGCAACCTGGACATTGCATAGTGGCAAAGAATCCCGTATTATGTTGCCATGCCACAGCCCTGAACAAGATACCATGTTTGTACTTATCAACTCGCTAGCAAATTTCTATTGGTGACGGATCAAAGTGAGGGCTATGCCTGCAACAAAAACCCCAAGCGTGATGTCATCGATCACAACCAAAACACTCGACCGCAATTTGTTGGGCCGAATTGCCAACCAAAAGTTTCTAACTCTCAGCCTTAGACTTGGGGGCAGACTTGGGGGCACCCTTTGTCTTGGACTTGGAGGCTTTGGCTTGAGAAGACTTGGCCTTTCTCGAGCCTTTGCCTTTTGCATCCCCGTCTCCCGCACGCTCAGAAGTTCTCTTCCTCTTGATCCCCTTGCTGCCAGTGCCCTTGGTCGATTTGATCGTCCTGCGCTGAGGTGGCAATATGAAAAGCATATCCGGTGGAGGTCAGGGTCCTAGAGCGGATCACCAGGTTGTTCAAAGCAACATCTGTTCGGGTACACGAAGCGCAAAGATGCAGCATTGTTTTTTTGCTGCTCAGGCCTCATAAAGCTAATGTGCATGACGTATACTACACGCACAAGTTCGTGCAACATTTACAAACATGAATGTAGGATCGATCGATTGCACCCCCATTCCCGTGCAAGTTGCGACGCCGTTCTTGTCACTGCAATCTCCGCTTGCAGGGCTTCAAGCCGGGCGTAGAGCTGCTTCATGGAAGCAGCATGTGTTTCGATTTGCGTAGAGAGCCTCATATCGCACATCCAAAAGTTCAAGTAAAAGTTGTCTCTTGCACCAATTGTTGCACAGCCCCTCCCATGCTGAGCACGCTCCCCCCATGCTGAGGCCAAGCACTCCTTTGCCTGGCAGGCATCGACTTTTGCCAGCTTGTCCTGTTGGGGTCCCAAGGCTGGGTGGACCTTTGTGGATAAGAATGCCAGATGGCCTCAATTCTATGGTTAAGGGCAGCTTAGGGCTTATGTGTTCATGCATGAAATGAAGTCGACATGGCGGTCCAGAACGGCTGTAGTGGAATCGAGCTTGCGCCCACAGACTTGAAGGAATTGTGGTAGCACAGCAAGTGCTGAGCTGTTCTCTTGCACTGATGGGAACACAAGCCTAGGCTCCATTATGAACAAGTAACATCAATTTTACAAAACTTCTTGGTCGACAGCTAGTCTGGTTATATGGACATCTCTTATGATGAAAAATACCTAGATCAGAAGTCTAAAGCCATCATTTTGCAAAGCAGCTTGAACGAGCCAGAACCTATCAACGCGCCGTCTTCAGGTCGACCACCATCTTCGTCGATCTTGAGGAGATGCTCCGCGCTGCTGTTCAAGTCGGGGAGACTGGAGTCCCACACAGCACCGCTTTCATCCTGGGTAGAATATGCTGAAGGGACCCATAGATTATATATAGAATTAAAGTTGAATTTGTTGGGTGTACTCTTCAAGAGCCTGGTCCAACACCCTCCCTGGAAGACCAACTGCTGCCGGCTAGATTCTTCAATATCCAGTCTGGTGTTTTCAGTCCGCGCAGTCCCTTCCTCTTCTTTGAAAGCAAATGAATCCTCAAGAACCAATTTGGCTTCTAGCTCTCCATGAATTGGAGACTTCCGGACTAAATTCCGGGCACCGGCCCAATCGAAAGCTGCGTCGGCCATTTTCCTCAGCAACGGCTTGGCAGAATGGGTCACTTGGTCAGCTTGTCAAAAAAGACGCAGCCACATTTGTTCATGCGATGTTGATTCAAGGGTCTTGGTCCAGTGTTCTGCAACCATCAAATAGTTTTTGGTGACCCATTTCCCTTCTTTCTTCTTCTCATGTGAGGATGTTGAGTATTTCTGAACCTTCAACTCCACAACTGGAAACTCCATTCCATTCTGCTCGAGCAATTCTCGGATCTTGCTACCTTAATTGTGGGGGAATGGTAGGATGTGTTTGTTCTACCATGTTGTAAAAAGAACACGCAGCACCACATTCACATACACATTGCACAGCGTGACGCATGTTGTCATCTAAGTTGGGAACGTCCATCCTTGCTGTGGAACATTTTTTGAATCTCCGCAGAAGCCTTCTTGGACTTGCAGTATCGTCTCATCCTTGCATAGAAAAACCCAGCACATGTGCACACAGCTATTTATAAAAAATGCAGCGCACACACACAAACACCGCACACGCACGCATCCAAGAATCCGCCAATACGTGGCATCATAAACCTCGCCCCCACTAGCTGATGGCACACTGGCTACCTTCTTCCCTGGTTGTGGTGGTGGTGGTGGCACAGGTGGAGGTGCAGCCTGTCCTGCAAGACCCCCTGAACCCACTCCTGGCTGTCCATGCCTCAAAGAATCCTTTGCCGGCGTGTATGCCGAAACCTCTGTCGGAGCTGGCTCTGGAGGTGATGGAACTGGGGATGGCGCAGTCTTGGGTGAAGCGTTTGGCCATTCCCTGGGCTGGGCATGATTCATATCCACTTCAGCGCTTGATGGTACATGATACAATCTGGTTGGTTCATGTGACAGGGATTCAGGTAAAGGTCTCAGTCTCTTCCTCCCATTACTAGAAGCTGGCTCTGTCACCGGCTCTGTCACCAGCGCCGGCTTTGTCACCGGCTCTGTCACCGGCTTGGCGGCGTCGGCGACAAAGTGACCATCACTGCGGGCAATGATTGGGGCACCTAGGCCGGCTGGGCAAGGTGTTCGGGATACCTGTTGTGTGAGCCTGTAAACGAGCTCCAGCGGACACCTTGTTGAAAAGCGAGCTAGCTCTATGACTCCATAATACACCAAAGGCACCCTCCACAAAAGAATCCCCTCGAGAAGCATTGTCCGCTGGAAATGAATCCGGGTTGTGAAGACTTCTTTGCAAGATCTCGATCTTTTCGTGCTGTGCCTAGGCAGGTTGTAGGCATCCCGGTGGAAACATATAGATCGCTGGCACTTAACAAGTATACATGCTTGAAATTGCAGGCCATGTACCCGAATCAAAGCATCAATATCGAGATCCATTGGATCGCAACTCTCTCCCGTAGCGTTGGTGTCTAGCTTTGTGGTCCCACTTTCAAGTGTTTTGCAAGACCACTGTGCCGACATGATCGATCGCGATTGAGAAAACTTGCGAAAGTCCTGCGGAATGCATTTTTAAAGCAAAAATGTGCAGCTAGCGGTTCCAAAATCGGGCAAAATCGGAGCAATTGTACTAGATTTCGGGTTTTGCGCCGATTTGCGGATATTTGCGGTCGATTTGCGGTTTTTTTGTGGACGATTTGCGGTTTTCAAATTTCCCCAATTGGTCGCTCGAAGCGTGTTCCAAACGCTCCGAATTCCGAATTTTCCGATTTTAATGCTCTAGTCTGGTTCAGACCGGCAAACATCGGCAAACTAAGCTAATCCAGCAGGATCAGGCCCCGTGCTGATAGTTTCAGCAGCATCCACCTCAGATTCAAGCAGCGCGATATGGCACACCCCAGGCACACATACACTATAGCAGACCTAAGTTGATCCTAGCTGCCCACTCCTCTGCAAATTTGTAAACGGCAAGACTCCACTCATTGGGAATCCTTCCAGCTAGGAAGAAGTGAGGGCATGTGTTATTGTGAGTTGCATGCACAGCTTACACTCCAACAGATTGTCCTGACATGTTTGCACCCCAGTAGAAAATCGAAGACTTCTTTCAAGCGCGCTTCAGGCCACGTGTCTCCAATCTCCATTTCAGTAAAAAGCTGCACATCGGTTTTCGACTCATCCGGCACAATCCGGAACCGCAAGTCTCCATGCGCAGGAGATTGAAGCTGCTGGACATATACTTGGTTGATGCTCTCTCCAAGGCCAGTGGGGTAAGCCCTGGGCTGAAACAATTGGGGACCAATTTCGAGTCTGATTGCCAAACAGGGTTGGGGCATCTAGCAAGATCACCGCTGTTACTGTTGATTGCATTCCCCGTTGAAGTCAACTGGGCAAGCCAAGCTACTGACTAGCCTGCAACTTGTCCTTGTCTCCAACAAATCGGCTCCGGCCCTGCTTGTCGAAATATTTGCCTAGATTGGGAGGCAAAAGAAAAGTATAATTAATATATATATATATATATATATATATCGATCGATCTGTGCCATGCATGCAATAACATTTGCGTATGCAGTGCACAGTCTCCTGACAAGCTACGTGTTGTACGAAGCGTTGTTCTTTTCTTTCGCTCTTTCTGGGACAGCCTGCATTTGTCCAACAAACCCATGGTGCTAACATTGCCCATGAACTGCGTCCTCTTCGGGGACCTGCTGCCATGGAGTTGCATCCAGAAGAAGACTTCAAATACCTGGAGAGTTGTTCGAACGAGTGGCGAACCTAGAGAGGCTGAGAGGCCACTAAAGGGTCCACACTAGAGGCTAGTGTGGACCCTTTTTGTGTCCTCTCAACCTGTGTTGGAAAGAAAGGGGAGACCATGAGTGTAAACAACTTGTATGGCACCTATGAACACCAAATTGCAGCATGGGCACCCACGCGATTCTGTTTGCCAAGTGCTGCCACCGCTTGTGGTATTTCAATAGTGATTGAGCAGGCTGCTCCACCAAGTAGTAGCAATTCCGGCTTAAAAGGAGCAAAATACACAAGACCATCCTAGGTCAAGCCACAGGCTCAGCGGGCAACATTCCTATACATGTATATAGTATATATGCATATAGCCATGTGTCCGGGATACCATGCAGTTGGCGGTGGCCACAAAGCTGTACCCCTCATAACCCTCAGGATTTATGAAGCCTCTGCCAGAAGTAGATCTAGCTGGCAACCCCCAGCTGGCGCAGTTTGGCGCCCAAAGGCTTAGCCCATGCT